AGATTTTTGCTTATGTTTTCTTCAGTGTGTTTTATGGATTAAGTTCTAACAGCTAAATCTTTAATCCATTTTCCTGAGAAAGGAAGAAAAGTCTGTACGGTTTGTACTGCAGAGGTCCCTCCTATATCCCAAGAGTGAGAGGCAGTGCCTAGCACCACCCCAAATCACCTTGTGTGATTCCACAGCACTATTGATTCAATCCTGGCACAGTAAGTGAGTCCCGCTTCAGTATAGAGTAATAAAATATGTGCAAACATCCCAACCAAGCAGGAAGCTCCCGGGCACTGCAAGAAAATGATGGCAACCAAAGGAAGGGTAGGGAAAAGTAAAAATAAAAAAACAACTCTTTCATCCATTTTGAATTAGCGTTTGTACATGGTATAAGATTCTTTTGCATATGACTAGCCAGTTTTCCCAACTTCCTTTGTTGAAGAGACTTTCTGTTCTGCTTGAAATGCTCTTTATGTGACTTAAATGTTCTTTAGTTGTTGTGAAGTAAGAAAATCCTGTTTCTTTATCTTTTCTTTCAGTAATGTGTATAGCACATTAATTGATTTGCTTATGTTGAACCATCCTTGCATTCCAGGATTACATTTCACTTGGTCATAAAATTTTGGTGAATTCAGTTCAAACTACTTGGGGATTTTTACATTTAGTGTTTGTCATAGGGATATTAGCCTGTAATTTTCTTTTTTAATGATGCCTCTGTCTGTTTTTGGTAATCTGGCAATCTGGCCTCATAAAAACCGTTTGGAAGAGTTTGAACTTCAATATTTTGGGGGGGGGGGGGAAGCACAAGTAACAAGACATCTTAAACATTTTGCCAGAACTCACCAGTAAATTCACTGAGACCAGGGCTTTTATTTGGGTGGAGTATTTTGATTGCTATTTTAAATTCTTTGCTTGTAGTTGGCCTCGTCATCCTACTCTTGATCCAATCTAAGCAAGTTATATCAGTATAGAATTTTATCCATTTATCCTAGGCTCTCCAATTGGGGGGGGGGGATTAGGGGGTAGAATAGGTTTTGGCCCACCCCCAGTGCTGCTCAGGGTCTATTCCTGATTCTAGTTCTATGCTTTGGAGTTGCTCCTGGCTGTTGCTCTGGGGACCACATGGTGCCAGAGATTAAACCAGAATCTGCCACAAGAGAGGCAATCTCCTTAACCTCTATTTCTTCAGTGGTATGTTCTCCAATTTAATAGCATAAAGTTGTTAATAGCAGTCCCTTATGAATCTTTATATTTTTTGTAAAAATCATCCCCTTCATTTCTGTCCTATTTATGAGAGCTATCTCTCTGTTTCTATTTTAATTTGTGAGTATATTTTTGTTTGTTTCACAACACAGTGTGCTGTGGTGCTCAGGGGTTACTCCAGAAAGTTCTCAAGGGAATGTGCAGAATTGTGGATTGGACCAGGGCTCTCACATGCACAGCAGGCCTCTGAGACATCACCCACCATCACTCATAAAGGCCTCTTTATAAGTCTAGACAAAGTCTGTAAATCTTATTTATTCTTAAATTTTAAAATAAAAAAAGCTCTTGGTTTTATTACTTTTTTTTCTTTTTGGGTCACACCCTGCAATGTACAGAGGTTACTCCTGCCTCATGCACTCAGGAATTACTCCTGGTGGTGCTCGAGGGACCATATGGGATGCTGGGAATCAAACTTGGGTCAGCTGTGTGCAGGCAAATGCTTTCCCCTCTGTACTATCACTCCAGCCCCAATTTTATTACTCTTTTGTATTGCTCCCCCCCATTTATTTTTGCTTCTACTTATTTTGCATTTCATTTGTTGTATCTTTTCTGTTTCCTTAAGATGTGGTGTTATTTATTTGAGCTCTTTCTTTTTTCCTAATATAAACCTGTATTGCTATAACTTTTCTCTACTGGTTTTGCTGTGTCCCATGTGTTCTGATAGTTAGTGTTTATATTTTTCTTTTCAGAAATTCTTCTATTCTTTTTGTCATCAACCCAATAGTTTTTCAATAGTATATTGCTTAGTCTCCAAAATATTTCAGATATTGCCAGATTTCTTTGGGGGGGGGTTGTCATTCCCAGTGGTGTTCAGGGGCTACACTCTGCTGAGTGCTGAGGGGTCAGTCCCAGTTATGTGGTACTGAGGATCAAACCCAGGGCTCCTACAAACAAGGTACATACATACTTCAGCCCCCCGACTTCCTTTTTATGGTTAATTTCTACCTTTCAATAATGATCTAAAAATATACTTGTTAGAATTTCAATCTTTATGACTCTATTGATACTTTCTTTTTCACCCCAGAATATGGTCTATCCTGGAGACAGTTCCATTCGCACTGGAGAAGAATGTGCGTTTAGCTTTTTGAAGACAGAGAACACTGAAAATGTCTGGCAAAACAAGTTCTTCTGACTTCTCCCCCAGTGATATTCATTTCCCACTAGATTTTCTGTTTGATCTGTCCAGTGGTGAGCATGGGGTGCTCAGTCACCTACTGTTATCAGGTTGCTGTCAGGACCTCTCTTCAGGGTCATTAATAGTTGCTGCATATATTTTTGTTCCCCTTCATTTGGTGTGTATATATTAATAACTTACATTCTCTTCATATATGGATTCCTTAATTGTCATATAAATGTCCAGGTCTGTGTCTTGTTATCATTTTCAATTTTAATTAGTTTTTGTTGGTACAAATATAGCCATCCCTGTCTTTTCAAGGCTACGTCATGTGCTTGTAGAATTGTCTTCCAACTTTTTACTTTGAACTTAAATGTTCAAGTTGAAAATTGTAGGAAGTTGGGTTTCTGTTTCCTCCTTCATCTGACCATTGTTATTTGATTCTGGAATTGAGGTCATTTGCATTTAGTGAAATTGTTTAAACAGAAGAATTTGTTCTGGGAACCTCCACATTTTATGATCTTTGAAACAATTTGCTACTTCCTAGTGGGGTTTCTTTCTTTTGTCTTTGTTTTTTTTTTTTTTTGGTCCTCTTATTTTCTCTTACTTTGGTATCTGCCTATGTTGTAGAATCAGGTTCCATTTGTCTCTTGTTTATTTCTTTGAAGTCATTTTGCATAGGGGTAGCCACAAACTGTCATCTAAAATATTTTTTAATTGCCTTTTAAATTGAAAGCAAGTAGGTCTGGAGTTCGACCCAGAAGAACCCATCATTACTCTCCCACGCCCATTTTTTATGATCTTTGAAACAATTTACTACTTCCTAGTGGGATTTCTTTTCTTTCTTTTTTTTTTTTTTGGAAGGCACACCCAGTGATGCTTGTACCCAGTGGTGCTCTTGATGCCGGGGGCTCCATGAGTGGCACATGTGAAATGAGGAGAAGAAAAATGGTCACTTTCTTCCAATCTACCTCTGCCACCTGGGACCCAGGATTACTGGGTTCTTGTCTTGCCTCGCAGAAAGGAATTTCAGGAGTAGACATGCAGTGAAATTACAGTTTTTATTTGGAGGTTTTGAAGGGAAGGAAGGAGAAAAAGTGGGAGAGAGTGGAGAGTAATATGCTCAAGAGAGAATCCGGGCTTCTCCAAGGGCGGAGTGAGCCCCTACACACATTAGACATGAAAGTATGAAAGCATACATCTCAAGAGGGGAGATATGGGCGACACATGTGCTTGGCCACATGGGTTCGGGCAGTATATGTGCTCCCTTCCTTTGCTCAAGGTGGCTTTTATAGGGTTTTTCCAACCTGCCCCCATGTGGGGCTTCTTCCTACCTAAGAGTCTGTTGCTAAGGAGGTTACCAGGGGGGTTGGGCGTGATGACGTTCTTCTTCAAAATTCCTTTCCTGGCCTTTTGTTTCTGCAGGAGCTTCTCTGGATCTGTTGCTGTAGATAGGTGAGGGTCTTATCAGGGCTTACTTCCTGTTTTTTCCTGTTTTCTGCTGAGGGTCTTATCAGGCTTTTGCAACTTCAGGGCTATTTCTTCCCAGGAAATCTTTGCCATTGCCTTGGGAAGGGGCCTTCCCTATCTGCCTAAGCGGAGGGAGCCCCTACACACTCATACTCCTGGCTCTGTGCTCATGTGCTTTGGGATTATTTCTGGGAGAGCTTGGAGATCTGTATGTGGTACTGGGGACTGACCCTGGGTTAGCGGCAGACAAGGCAAGCGCCCTGATATACTCTCTTCAGTGGGTTTTCTTTGCCTTCTGTAGAAAGCCACTTAGTATTTATCAAAGAGGTGGTTTAGTGGTTATGGTCTCTGCGCGATTTTTACCATGAGAATGATTATATTACAATGAGCATATCTGATGTTGGAATCACCCACCCATCACTTGGTTCTCCTCTCTGGATTATTTTATTTTGGGGGTGGGGGAGGGGAGGGGGGCATATCCGGAAGTGCTCAGGGTTTACTAACTGCACTCAGGAATCACTCCAGGCAGTGCATGTGGGATGCCAGGATGGAACCCGGGTCAGCCACGTGCAGGGCAAGCGCCCTCCACGCTGAACCAGGGTTGGGCCTTGAATTTTCTTACCTCCAACATGTCTCTGTCCTCAAGGTCCTCACCCTGGGGCTGGTTAGCATCTGTAGCACATGAACTTCTGGCCCAGATGTATTAAGTTTCCCAGCACTGTACCTGGATCTATAAAAGACACACACTCGAAGGCATGACACGATTTGGAAGGGCAAGTGAGCACTGGCCATCACGTGGGTCAGAGTACTGGACGTCCAGCTGCCTGCTCTGCGCCCTGGGGGGGGGGAGGGGGGTGATGGGGGAGGAGGACGAGGGGAAGCTGCTGGGCAGCTGCATTATTCCGGGCTTGCTTGGGGTCAGGGAAACGAGGAACCCCAACATCTGGAAAGCCCGGACCCTCGTGAAGGATGGGATCCGGCCAGGGGTCCGAGGCGGAGCACGCATCCGGGTGCAAACCCTGCAAAGCGCGCTGAGCCTTGCAGCTCGAGCCTCTCCTAGAAGAGGAAGGTCCCGATCCAAAGCGCTGGGGAAGGTCCCCCGCGACCCCAGCCCCCGCCACCCCAGTCCCCGCCCCGCTGCGGAGCTGGGAGCCGCGCCGGAGTCCCCGGCAGGGGCCGCTGCAGCCCCGAGGAGGGGCCCGAGCGCTGCGCCCCGGCCTGCGGGTTCTGTCCCGCGTCAGCTCGCTGTCTCAGGTGCGTGTTCCCCGCGAACCCAGGCCCCGCTGCGCGGCGTGTCCCCCTTTCCTCCTCCTCCTCTTCCTCCCCCCCGGCCCCAGCCCCCGCCTGGACCTCCCGGGACGGAAGCTGCGCGGGTGGCCCGCGGTGCGCATGCGCGATCGGCGCGCCCCAACCCGGCGGCTACCGGGAGGGACCCCGGGCAGTGGCCTGGCAGCGATCAGGGCCCAGCGCGGGGTAGCTGAGGCCCGGGAGGCCAGGTGGGGACAGGGAGGAGCCCGGGAAGCCCCGCACGGAGCGTCCCGAGGGCCCCCGCAGCAGCCCGGGGGGCAGGTGTGTGTCCCCTACACGGGCGGTGGCTGGGGGCGTGCAAAGAGGAGGGTTTGGAGGTGCATGGGGGGAGGGGGTCCAGGGGCATGGGGAAGAGAGGAAGGGGAGGGGTCTGGCCAGTTAGGCTAAGTGGGGTGGAGAAAGTTCCAGAGGTCCTTCCTTCTCCACTGCCCCCCTCACCCCCCCCCCCCCCCGCCGTCAGCCTGGCTGCACAGTACTTTGGGGGGCACACTGGATGTTGGAGGGGTGGGGGAGCCCAATGGGAGGAGGAGAGCCCCAGGGGGCGTCTGGAAGCCTGGGTAGAGGTGCTGGCCTGGATCCCAGGGTGGACCTGACGAAGTCCCAGGAGTCCGAGCGTGGGGACATAGCCACGGGCAGGTCGCTGGTGACCTTGACCCCAGCAGCTGGTGGCCTGGGGGAAGCGGGTGAGTTGGCAGCCTGGACAGCAGCTAGCAGGGACCTGCGGTTACTTAGGGCAGAGTTTCAAAACAGGATTCAAGGAGCGCCCCAGGAACTTTTTGCAGTTCCTTTAAGTATACTCAGGTATTTCATTTCCTTTTTTCATTTGCTTTTTTTTGGGACTCAAAGGTGTCCAGGGGTTACCCTGCACTTGGTGCCCTGCTACGATTACCTGCCCCTAGTTGGTTGTCTTGGGGGGGTCCAGGCTGTGCCTGGATTGAACCTGAGCGCCTAATTCCTGATGCTAATTTTTCATTTATTGTATCTTTCTAATTTAGTAGGAGCCTCCCCCCCACCTTTTGTTTTCACAGAGGGTGTACAGATTTTTTTTTTCTTCTTAATTTGTTAGGTGACTTTCTTAGGAGAAAACCCTGTTGAAATGGAGTGACATTCACCCAGAGTAATGTCACTTTGCTCGAGCGGGCCCAGTAACGTCTCCATTGGAGACTTTGTTGTTACTGTGTCTGGCATATCGAATACTCTCGGTAGCTTGCCGGGCTCTCCGGGAGGGGCGGAGGAATCGAACTTGGGTTGGCCATGTTGGCCGCGTGTAAGGCGAACGCCCTACCCGCTGTGCTATCGCTCCAGCCCCTTAGGAACTGGCATTACTGATTCTGATAGACTTTACTTCTTCCCCTGAGCCTCTTCCCCATGTGGCGCCCCACCCCCATTCCCAAGGTAAAATCAAGGCAAAGGGATTGGCGCCTTTACTCGGGGCAGTTTCCACCTCTGCGACCTCTGGACCAGATCTTCTGAGTTTTAACCACTCTGACTTCCGGTTCCGGCCCCTACCCTTTGAATTTGGTTTTAGACCTTATAGGGAGGTAAACTCATGGAAGGTAGAACCTCGCCTGCCTCAGTTCCCCCCAAAGGACAGGTAAACGGTGGCACAGAGGATGCTGCCAAAACACACTTGGTAGTAGCCTTGAGGTGAGGGTTTCCTGTCTGGGCTGGAACAGATTCCTGGTGGCATTATTCACAGACATGTAAACATGTTGCTTTTATTTATTTTTTAATTTTTTATAATTTTATTTATTGAATCACCGTGAGAGCAATTAAAAAGCTTTCGGGTTTAAGTCTCGGTCATACAATGAAACACCTGTACCTTCGCCAGTGTCCATTCTCCTTCACCCCCATCCCATAGCCTCCCCCTACCTTTGGGGCAGATGATTTCCACATTACTCTCTCTCTCTCTACTTTGATTACATTCAATATTTTGACACCAGACCCACCATTATTATTTGGGTTTTTACCCCAACACTCAGATCTGCCGAAAAGGCAACAGTAGATAATTTGTTTTCTATTGCTGGTTATGAATAACATATGATGTCTCACGGCTGCAGTAGTGGCTGCGCGATTTTGAAATTCCGAAATTTTAACAATTAAATCTGGAGGGATTTCTGCCAAAACCTGCTGGGTTCCGAGATTTGTTCCTGAGTCTCTGGGATCATGGCCGTTAAGCAGCTTGATCAGGAGCCAGAAAGGCCATTTGTGGGTGGTGAATCAGGGTCTTGTTGGATGGGGATGAAAGGGCCGGCTCCACCCAATCTCGTGAGGCTCCGCGTGTCTTGTCACTGAGGGCCCAAACCTGACTGTCCAATGGCCTCTAGAGGATGGGTGCCACCGAACCACCAAGGGGGATCAGGCGGAGGTACAGCACCCTTTCCCCCCTGGGGTGGCCCAGTGACAGTAACCTACTGCGGGGTCCAGACGCATTTCTGCCAAAAACTGCTGGGTTCCGAGTTTTGTTTCTGAGTCTCTGGGATCATGGCCATTAAGCAACTTGATGAGCAGCCTGAGAGGCAATTCGTGGGTGGTGACTCGGGGTTTTGTTGAGATGGGGGCTCCTCCCCCATCCCGTGAGGCCTCATGTGTCTCGTCACTGCAGGCCCAAACCTGACTGTCCAGTGGCCTCTGGAGGACGGCGGCCACCGGGCCACCAGGGGGAGCACGCCAAGGCATGAAACCTATTCCCACCTGGGGTGGCCCAGCGCTAGTAACCTACTGCAGGGACTGGACGCATTTCTGCCAAAAGCTGCCGAGTTCCGAGATTTGTCTCTGAGTCTCTGGGATCATGGCCATTAAGCAGTCCGATAAGGAACCAAAGAGTCCATGCCTCCAATTGTATAGCTGAGCCAGAAGTGGTTTGTGGGTGTGTCTCCCACATACCTAACTTTTGACCATTTACTTTCTTGGTAAACTTTGCCCCAGGTTTTTGGGGTCTGGCCAAAGGCACAGCAGCAATTTTGGGGTATCTGGAAGTCTGAAGGTGCCATTAGGCTGCTGATGCACTCGCCTCACAGGTACAGATTGACCTGTTGGCGGCACCATACCCCCAACATGTTGCTTTTAATCAAGACTTTGTTTTCACGTTTACTGAGAGACTTGCAGCACATCTTGTAAATTAATAGAAAATTCAACAAAGAAATTCCCACATGCATTTATTTTTAAGAGCTTGTAAAATACGACAAGAGTTGTAGAAGAAAGCCATGAGATCAAAATTGCTTACTGACTTATTGCTTCAGACATGGACATAAAGAATAGATTCCACTGATAGAATGGTAAGTTAGTATGATAGGTGCTTCAAACAAAAAGGGCAGGGCTGGAGTGACAGCACAGGTGTTTGCCTTGCACGCAGCCGACCCGGGTTCGATTCCCAGCATCCTACTTGGTCCCCCAAGCACTGCCAGGAGTAATTTCTCAGTTCATGAGGCAGGAGTAACTGCTGTACATTGCCGGGTGTGACCCAACAAGAAAAAAAAGGGGGAGCATATATATTTAGCTATCTAATCCATGAGCATGTATACATGCACATATTTATCGTTTGATATAATGTATAGAAGAAATAGGGTGTCCTTCATTTTCTAGGCAAAGGATCCAGAAGCTAGTGATTTGGGGGCCTGGAGATAGCTCATTGAGCTGAGCTTAGGCTTTGCTTGTAAGAATGCTAATTTCCATCCCCAGCGTTGTGTGGTACACACACCAACTCCAGCACCAACACCAACAAACTATACTCTCGGTGTGTAACAGGAACAAAATTTTTTTTTATTTTTTTGCTTTTTGGGTCACACCTGGCGATGCACAGGGGTTACTCCTGGGTCATGCACTCAGGAGCTACTCCTGGCGGTGCTCAGGGGACCATATGGGATGCTGGGAATCGAACCCGGGTTGGCCACGTGCAAGGCAAAAGCCCTACCCACTGTACTATCACTCCAGCTCCAGGAACAAAAATTTGAAAAGAAATAGAGACTTGGGATTTTTGTAATATTGGTACATGAGTGAATAAAACTTAAAAAAATATTTTCATTATGAAATTAGTACGCATCAAAACATTTCAGTAGAAAATTTTGGATTTTCTACATGAAAGAATCCATGTCTTATCCAGGTCATACCAGTTCTAATCCTGTAATTCTCTGATTAAATATCCCTTAAAAATCTTTGTGGATACCTAGGGTTGACATGTACAAGGAGAGGCTGGGGAGATAGAACAGCAGGTACGTGTATGTTTTCTTTGGTAGTACTCACAGCTTACTTCTGGCTCTGCACTCAGGAATCACTCCTGGTGGTGCTCATGGGACCATACGAAATGCCGGGGATCGAACCCAGGTTGGCTGTGTGCAAGGCAAACACCCTATCCACTGTTGTATCACTTGCTCCCCCTTCCCCCCAGTATTTTATTAAATCTACAAAGGCACAGAATTTTCTGAAACAGTTCTAAATTTAAATATTAAAAGGCAAAACTGGAAAAAATTCCTTTGAGAGGGGTTGCCGCCAGTGGTGCAACCAGCCCACCCCTCCCTCATGCAAAGTATGTGCTCAATTCATTGTGCTATTCTCCAACCCCCTTAAGATATATATTAAACTTAAAACGATAGGAAAAGTTGCTTTATTAAGGGGCTATTGGGAGTTTGGGCAGTATTAGGAATTTGAATCTTCACAGTTCCAGACAAGATGTGCAACAAGCTTATTTATTTTATTTTATTTATTTTTTTCTTTTTGGATCATACCCAGTGATGCTCAGGGGTTACTCCTGGCTCTGCACTCAGGAATTACTCCTGGCGGTGCTTGGGGGACCATATGGGATGCCAGGGATTGAACCCGGATCGGTCGTGTGCAAGGCAAATGCCCTACCTGCTGTACTGTCGCTCTGGCCCCAAGCTCATTTATTTTTGAAGCACACAGTTAATGATTGGGGGATACCTGCATCTCTGTGAAGTGTAGGGAATCAC